TGCTGAGCAGAGAGCCTGATGTGGGGCTCGATCCCAGGACCCTGGGATCATGACCTGAGCCGAAGGCAGAGGCTTTAACCCACTGAGCCACCCAGGTGCCCCTTACCTCGCTTTTTAAAAAAGATTTTATTTATTTATTCATGGGAGACAGACAGAGAAAGAGAGGGAGGCAGAGGCAGAGGGAGAAGCAGGCTCCCTATGGAGCAGGGAGCCCAAGGTAGGACTCGATCCCAGGACCTCTGGATCACACCTGAGCTGAAGGCAGACGCTTAACCATCTGAGCCGCCCAGGGGCCGAGTCCTATTACCTGTTAAAAAGAAATTATATTTGTAGTTAAAAACCATCCCACAAAGAAAAGTTCAGGCCCAGATGGTTTCTTCAGTGAATTTTACCACTTAAGGAAAAGAGAACAGCAATACTACACAATATCCTTCAGAAAATTAGAAAGGGTGGGGGGCGGGACACTTCCCAAATCATTTTATGAGGCCAGCATTATGCTAACATCAAAACCAGACAAAGATAGTACAAAAAAGGAAAACTACAGACCAATATCCTTCACAGACAAAGCAAATATCCTCAGCAAAATAAAAGCAAATTAAATCAAGCAATATATGAAAAGAGTAATATATTACAACCAAGTGAAGCTTATCCCAAAAGCTCAAGTCTGGCTCAACATACAGAAATCAATCATCAGAATAATTCGCCATAGTAACAGACAAAAAAAGGAAAAAGTATACTATTATTTTCGTAGATGCAGTAAAGGCAAATATTTATGAAAATCCAAGTCATAAAAAAAAAGTCTCAGCAAACTAGCAGTTCGAGGGAACTTCCCTGACTTGATAAAAGGCAACTACAAAAAGCTTACAGCTTCCATGCTGAAAAGGTAAAAGACTAAATGCTTTCCCCCTAGGATCGGAAAAAAAATCGAGGATATCTGCTCTTATGACTTCTCTGCAACACTGGCAGTACCACAGGTTCTAAGTATAAACAAGGCTACCAGAACTCAGTATGTGAGTTTAGCAAGGTTGCAGAATACAAGGTCAATATAGAGAAACCAGTTGACAATCTGATTCTGAAGCTGATGTGGAAAAGCAAAGGACCCAGAATAGCCGAAACAACTCTGAAAAGAAAAACGAAGTTGGAGGGCTAAAACTGCCTGATTTCAAGAATTATGATAAAACTATTGTCATCAAAACAGCATGGTATTTGCATAAAGATAAACAACAAAATCAATGGAACATACTACAGAATACAGAAATAGACCCACAAATCACAACCAATTCATTCTTAAAGTTGCGAAAGTAATTCAATGGAGTAAAGACAGCCCATTCCATAAATGGTATTGCAACAAAAGCAGTAAGACCGCAAGAAAATAAACCACAACATAAATATACCTTTGACAGAATTTAACTTGAATGGATCACTGATCTAAATATAAAATATAAAATCGGGGCGCCTGGGTGGCTCAGTGGGTTAAAGCCTCTGCCTTCGGCTCAGATCATGGTCTCAGGGTCCTGGAATGGAGCCCCGCATCGGGTTCTCTGCTCGGCAGGGAGCCTGCTTCCCTTCCTTCCACCCCACCCCTGCCTCCTGCCTCTCTGCCTACCTGTGATCTCTGTCGAATAAATAAAATCTTTTAAAAAATACATATATATATATATATAATAATATAAAATCATATAACTTTTAGGAAAAAAATAGAAAATCTTTAGGACCTAGGGCTAGGTTAAGAGTTGTTAGATTTGATACTAAAAGCAAAATCCATAAAGGAAAAATTGATAAATTTTAAAATCCTCAAAACTTAAAAATCCTTCTTCAACAAAGATACTATAAAGAGAATGAAGAAAAAAAAAAGAGAATGAAGGGGAACCTGTTTGGCTCAGTCAGTTAAGAGTCCAACTCTTGATTTCGGGATGAGGTCATTATGTTAGGGTTGTGAGACTGAGCCCTGCTTTGGGGGCTCTGTGCTCAGTGGGAAGTGTGCTTGTCCCTCTCTGCTCTCCTCTGCCCCATGGTGTCTCTCTTTCAAATAAATAAATAAATAAAATCTTAAAAAAAAACCTAAATGCGATAATACAAGTCAAGTCCTTAGTGGTGGCTCAGTGGGTTAAGTGTCTGCCTTCAGCTCAGGTCATGATCCCCGGGTCCTGGGATCCAGCTCTACATAAGGCTCCCTGCTCAGTGGGAAGCCTGCCTTTCTGTCAGTTTTGTCCCCTCCCCTGTCTCCACTTTTGTTCTCTCTGTGCCAAATAAATAAATAAAATGTAAAAAAATTAATGTAAAGTCTTATAATTTATAATCATTGTTGTTACAGAATTCTTTAAAATTGAGAAAATAAAAGACAAATGTTCATCAATAGAAAAATTGAGAAAATAAAAGACAAATGTTCATTAATAGAACAATTATTAAATTATGTTACATCTATTATAAGAAATATTAGGCAATGGTTTAGAAGTATGAAGTAAATTTATATGTACTAATTTGGAAAGATGTCCAGAATTATTGTGAAAAAAGTAAACTGCAGGACAATTTGTATAGTATGATCTCATTTGTGTAAAATAAAATATGTTGTGAAGAAATTTTTCTAGAATGATATTCACCAAACTGCTAACAGTTGTTATCCCTAGGGAGGGTTGTGGAATGAGGTGGGGTTCAGAGAACGGGGGTCTTTCCCTTTTTAGTCTACTTATTCCTAGACTGTTTGAATTGTTTCTAAAATATATTCATATATTTTTGAAACAAAAAACACAGAGTCAACTACTATCTTTTAAAAGAGCAGTGATAAAAATAACTTTCTGATTGCCTTGGCTCATGGATTCAAGAGGATGAAGCACGAGCTTACCTTGGACAGAAATATTTACCTAAAAATAGCCTCGGCTTCCATCTGTAATCTAACAACCATTCACGGAGCGCTGTCCCTTGGCTTGCAGCGCAGAGAACTGAGTCATTGCCGCTGCTGGGCCACTAACCAGTTTTGTTATGTTATTGTGTTATAAACGTTTGACTGTGGCGTTTTTGGAAACAGGGATCGTTGTCTTTGCCCTGTCTCTGTAGCCGCCCGACACAGGGCCTGATTCAGAGTTGGCGGGCAACTGAAATAAGACCAAGTCCTCGTGACAATGTCAGAATTAGAGGTGGCCGCTAGGACAGCGCGGTCCGCGCCCACTGAACTGACACGTGCTCGCCATCTAGTGGCCGTAGGGATTTCCGCGAAAGCCGGGGATCAGGAGAAACCACTAAGTGTTCTGGGATGCCTTTTAACACAACAGCACTGCCGAGCCAAAGAGCCCTCAGAAAAAGTTGACGAGCATCAAGTAAAAGGTCTTGGTTTATGTGTTGGAGTGCTGGTAGGATGACCTGTAGGTACTCCTGTTTTAAGTCTCCTCCATCAGCATCCTACCATCAGATGCCTCCTTCGCCTATAAGCTGTGGGCAAAGTCCGCGTTGCCATATCTCCACCCCCACCGAAAAGATCGAAACGCATATGGTATTAGGTATGTACATGAACGCTTTCCCAAAACTGATGAAATACTAATCATCTTTCCTGAGACAGTCTGGTCGGGACAAGATAGAAAACAAGACCAGAAAAAGAAAATCTTCCATAGACGTTGCCCTCCAGGTGCACCATCTTTTTCTGAATCATCAGAAATCATCGTGACGGTGAGCGCCACTGTGAAAATAGGTAGTGAGCCTGGAAGAAGCCTCACATGTCAAAGGGCCACAAGGAAAGCCACCCCGAGTTGGCTTTATAAACAGTCTTTGTGCCTGTCCCCTGTCCCTGCAGAGCTCAGGGAGGTTTACTTGTCCTGCAAGTAGCTTCATCGTTAAGGGAGCAGCTGCGTGGTAACAGTCTGAGAAGTACCGGACCTTGTGTTTATGGAGTAGGGGGCTCAGAGAGAATAATGAAAGGACAGACATGTGCCTGGTAAGTTGAACAATATTCCTGTAAAATGTTGCTCAGCAGTGGGGTGCCTGGCTGGCCCCGCCAGTACCGCGTGCAACTCTTGATCTTGGGGTTGGGAGTTCCAGCCCCGCGTTGGGTGTACAGATTACAAAAAATCTTTTAAAAATTAAAAATCAATAAAATAAATAACTAAATCTTTAAAAAATATATTGTTAAAATGTTGCTCCGCAGACCAAACAACAGAAAATTCTCAACAACTCCTGAGAGAGGGGCACTGAGTAGTTTAGGGTCAATGGGGAAAGCGGCCTAGTCATGTCCACAAATGGGTCCTGTCATTAGAATTCCACCTCCTCCCGGTTCACACGGTAGGTGCCTCATAAACATGAGAAGAAAAACGGAGATGCAACTTGGCGGCCACGGGGATCCCGGTATGGCAGCACGGTCTACACAGGAACGGCGCCTCCGGAGCAGGCAGTTTGTCCCGAGCACCGGGCTCTGCAGCTGCAGAGAAGTTACGAATCCTGAACAACATGGATCCAACCAACTGCTCCTAAACACGGCAAGAAGCGCCAGTATCTATTTACATGCAGTCCCCGAGGGCTCGAGCGCGTCTTGCTCTCAGTAACAATTAGGTCCTCCGAGGCGGCCCGTTTACTAGCCCTGCGCCCGGCGCGGCGGCGCCACACGGAACCTGGCACTGCGGCGCGCAGGAGGATGCGCTCTCCCGAGCGCCCCGTCTCTCCCCCGGCACTAGTCCTCCGCTCCGGCCGGTGCTCAGAAAGCGCGGTGTCAGCAGAAAGAGCCGAGAAGCGACACGGAGAGAAACCACGAGTGCCCCTGGGGAAGGCTCCCGAAGAGGCGAGTCTGCCGACAGCCCCACGAAAGAGCGCCGCAGACGGCGCCGGGGGAGCCCCGAGCCCCGCCGCCCCTCTCCGTCCCGCGCCGGCCTCCGCCCGCCGCGCAGCCCGCGGGCTCTGCCCCGGGGCCGCCTCCCCCGCTCGAGCTCGGCGGCGCCGCGGAGCCTCCCGGTCCGACCCCGCGGCCGCCGCGGCTCGACGTGTGTGCGCCCGCGCGGCCAGAGGACGCCCCCACTCACGTAGCGCTGCAGCTTCCTTTCGGGGGGCGACTTGACGAGCCAGCCCGTGCACACGGCGTCGCCCGCACTCATCGTGGCCGCCGCCGCCGCCGCCGCTTCCTCCAGCTGAGTCGCCGCGGGAGGAGGAGGAAGTCGGGCCGGGGATGCCGGCGGGGCGGGCCCAGCGCCGCCCGCCCGGCACCGCCCCGAGCCCCCGCCGCGACCCCCGGGCCCCCCCCCGGCCGCCGCGCTCCCCGGGGGCGGGGGCGAGGGGGGAGGGATGGCGCCACCGCCGCGGCCCAGACGGCGCGGGGCGGCGGGGGGGGGAGGGGCGGGCGAGCCCCCTCGTGCGGAGCTCCGGGCCCCGGGGTCACGGCGGCGAGCCGAGGCCAGGGACCCGCACCTGCGAGCGCCCGGGCCAGGGAGGCGGGAAAGCGGGGCTCCCCTCCGACGTCCCCGTCCCCCACCAACCCCGCCGTGAGCGGCCGCGGAGGGGCTCTCGCACGCCCCTCCCCCGGGGATCACCGTCCCGTGGCGTTGAGCTTGGCGGCCGAGCGACTCAAACGTCCTCCGGGACCCCGAGCTTTACAAACTTTACGCCCCGGAGGTGCCGTCCGCGGCCTCGCGGCCCCCGGGCTTTCAGGGCTGAGTCTCTGAACGGCCGGGTTGCGGCGTGCGCCGAGCACTTTCCACGACACCGAGAACCACAACCAGCTGCCGCCACGCGTGCTCGCGGCCCTGAGCTAATGTTGGGGGAGACCGGCCGGCAGGGGCCAACGTACTGTGTGCACAGACAAGCACTGACGGTCACCCTGAAATCAGCACCCGGCCCCCCGCCCACGCGCAGCATCTCCCTGAGGTTTGTTACCACCTGCACGGCACCCTGACCCATACTGCTTTCCCGTGGTGTCGTGCCTGTCCCGTGAAACTGACACTTGCAAGACAAATAAATAAACGTCACATCATTTCTGCAACTTACAAAGACACTTCTCGGCTCCGAGGTCCCACCACCCACACACTATTACTTTCTCACACGTGGACTCCGGCTACCGCCAGCGCTCACGCCTCTCCGAACCCACGTTCCCCTGGCCACCACCGCAGTCCCCGACTTCCCTCCTGCTTTCCAAACCTCACAAACCTGTAGCTCACTGGCCAAACCTAATTCGCATCTAGAAACCTCGACTCAAGGGAGAACGGTAAATATCTTTCAAATTTTTTTTAGCTCTCCTACCTTTCCAAACAGGAGGAGACCCGCATATGCACCACAGCCCACCCCCTAACTACTCAGTATCTATGCACCCTGCGCGCAAAATAAATTCACTGAAGGAACAACCGCTGCTCCCACCAAAACAATGCGCTGTCCCTCCTCCCAACTGAGAAGCTCTTCTTGAAACAGGAAACCAAAAGTGCCCTTGGTCAGTGCAGCCATCTCTGGGAAACAGTCATTGCTCTTCTAGTTCTGATATCACCCCACCTCGGTATCCTGCATCCTAAAGGAAAACACTAGAAAGCTAACCTCTGCCAGCATTTATTTTATATGCATAAAATATAAACAGAAAATCGAAAAACTTTATATGTAACACACAGTGACTACAATATCCTTAGTTCTGTAACTGCTTTACGATCTTCTTCCTTCTACTACCCGCCCTGTCCTCCCTTTGTTCTCCAGCCAAGAACTCAGGCGCTCAGAATTCGTTATCGCATGAGTGACCCGAACCTCTGTCCCCACCTGGTCTGAATCCTCAGTGGCCCTGCCTAGCATGGCTGCGGTGGGACGTGCCCCAGAGGACTGTGGCTGTGCAGACTGCTCTCTCACCAGTTCAAGGTACTTCCCTGATCCTCTAAGACAGATCCTCCACCTTTCAGCACATTTTCCCCCAACCCGTGTAATAACACAGTCGTCAACACGCCAACCCTCCCAGCAGGCCAGGTGCTGCAGGGCAATGAGGTCCTACCAGGACTAGTGCAGTCCCTCAGCACAAGCACACTGGCATGTGTCTTTTGTGTTTTACGATTTTCCCTCCCTCCCTCCCTTCCTTCCTTCCTTTCTGAAAATTCTATCCCCAGGGCACCCGGGTGGCCCAGCCAGTTAAGCATCTACCTTCAGCTCAGGTCAGCATCTCCAGGTCCTGGGATCAAGCCCCACGTTGGGGTCCCTGCTCAGAGGGGAGTCTGTTTCTCCCTCGACCTCTGCCCCTCCCCCCACTCATGTGCTCATGCACTCTCTCAAATAAATTTTTATAAAGTAAACTCTTCCCCCAACAAGGGACTCAAACTCACGACCTCAAGATCAAGAGTCAAATGCTCTACTGACTGAGCCAGCCAGGTACCTCTGTCTTTGACTGATTTTCTTAGGTGAGATCCTACAAAAGTGGGTCAAGTGCGGTAAGTCTCTGGGCGGAAGCGAACGCTGGCGAAGTGTGGCTTACAGTAAGTGCCTGTTTAAGTGGGGCAAATTGCTACCCCTTCGAGATGGATGTAATCTCATTCTGCCACCACGTAGCTGGCTGGTCACCCCAGCAATGCTGCCTGATTGGGGGCTGTCACTCCTGTGGGCAAGTTGAGTCCATAGCAGTGGCAATGACCACACCAGCTGATGCCAGTCCCTGGGAGCCTCACTACTTGTGGCAGATTCCCTTAACCTTCTACCATTTGCTTCCCTCTGAGACTTTGACCCACATACCTAGTCACAGAGAACTTCCTATGAGGTTACAGGGGCGAGTCAAGGGAAAGGGGGCCGTGCAGCAGTAGGGCCCACAGAAACGGGAGCCGCTCGCTCCAGCAACTCTCTTGTTTCTCCTATTAGGACTGGCCAGAGGCTCCGTGTCACCTGCCGGTGTGTCAGGCTCTGCTCATCTTGGATCTACATGATTGTAAAGGTCAGGAACTACTGTTCCTGGAGCCGCTACGGAACCTCTCCTGGCCCTCGGTGCTGCTGAAAACACGCAGCCTCACAGATGACTTGTTGAATGCGTGGGTGTGCAGCAATTTTGCACTTTTTGTGTTTCTTAAGCAAACGCTACCCCCAACCTGGGGCCCGAATTCACGCCCCTGAGATCGAGTCGCGCTCTGCTGGAGCCAGCCAGGTGCCCCAGGTGTGCAAAACTTAGATGCAGTACACATTGCCGACAAAATCCAAGGACTTGCACCTGCCACGGCGTCCCTTTCTGAGCGGGAGGTGGCATGAGGGGCAGCGACCCGTTGAATACCCAATGTGGTCACGCCCGTCTCAAGATGTTTCTTGAGGGTCAGGCTTTTGAGTGTTCCCGGGCTTTATCTCCTGTCCTCTGGCATACATGTTTATTGATAAAATAACTACCTCTTGATCACCAGGTCCAGTAAGCATAAGGTCTTCAGTATAATGGACCAGCATGATATTCCCCATAACTGTGGCAAAAATCAAGTTCCGTTCACCCCAGATTATGACACAGAGCCAGAGAGACATAGCCTGCGGCCAGGCACTAAAGCTGTACTTCTGGTCCAGCCGGACGAAGGCGAGCTGCTTCCGATAGAGAAGAGAGCCTTTGTCAGGCAAATAGCCACTTGCCAGGTACCAGGGGCTGCGTTAATTTACTCCAGAAAAGCAACAGCATCTGGAACAGCAGCTTCAATTCAAGTCACAACCTGATTAATTTTACAGTTACCCGTTGTTTGTCTCCAGGCTAACCGTGTCAGTTAAATAAGGATATGATATGGACAGTCACTCCGGCAGCTTCCAGGGGGCACTGCTCTCTCTTCCAGACGAATCCAAATTGCTTCTGCAGGGTTACTCCTCCTAAATTTCTAGGGAGAGATGACCTGTTTGTACTGCAACTTTTATTTCCCTTTCAGCAAGCCCCTTCCTAGCTTCTCTGCCCTCCAGCCCGGGAGGGGAGACCCATTTGAATAACAAGTGGTTTTCAGCACCTGAATTCCCTAGCCCACGGCTTCCCCGCTTATTATTATTTTAAAATAGGTTTGGCTTGGCCTTTCATTGAGTCCTATAAACTTTAGGACTAGAAGGATTTGCAAACATAAATATCTACTATTAAGAGTTTCTATTTTAGGGGCGCCTGGGTGGCTCAGTTGGTGAAGCATCTGCCGTTGGCTCAGGTCATGATCCCAGGGTCCTGGGATGGAACCCCGCATCTGGCTCCGGCTCCCTGCTCATCAGGGAGCCTGCTTCTCCCTCTGTCTCTGATCCTCCTCCCCTTGCTTGTGCTCCCTCTCCCCCTGTCAAATAAATAAATGAGATCTTTAAAAATAAAATAAGGGGTGCCTGGGTGGCTCAGTGGGTTAAGCCTCTGCCTTCAGCTCGGGTCATGATCTCAGGGTCCTGGAATGGAGCCCCACATCGGGTTCTCTGCTCAGCAGGAAGCCTGCTTCCTCCCCCCAACCCCAGCTGCTTGTGATCTCTCTTTCTCTGTCAAATAAATAAATAAAATCTTTTAAAAAATTAAATAAATAAAATAGTATGAAATTATCATCACAAGTCCAAATCAAACACATGGGAACTCATTCTATGAGGACAGTGTTACTCTGATACCAAAACGAGAAAAAGGCAGTAAAACAAAAAAAGAAAAAAAAACTACTGACCATTATGCCTCATGAATCTAGATGTACAAATCCTCAGCAAAATACTGGCAAGCAGAATTCACAAGTACGTAAAAAAGATTATACGGCATGACTAGGTGGGGTTTACTCCAGAGACGTAAGGCTCCTTCGATACGTGAAAGTTGATCAGGGGCACCTGGCTGGCTCCCTCGGTGGAGTGTGTGACCTCGGGGTATTGAGTTCGAGCCCCGTGTTGGGGGCAGCAGTTACTTATATGAACAGAAAAGAAATCAATGCAATCCACCATGTTAACAACCTAAAGAAAAGTCATACACTTGTATTGATTGATGCAGAACAAGCATTTGACAAAACCCAGCACCAATCTGTGACAGACACTCTCAAAAAACTAGAAATGTTAGGGGAGCTTCTGCAACTTGTTGAAGAATGCGCACAGAAGACGTACTGGTCAAAAACCAGGCGCTTTTCAAAAACAAACAAACAAACAAACAAACAAAACAAAACCAGACACTTTTCTCTTAAGATTGGAAACAAGGCGGGGC